GAACGCTGTTGGAAGTTCTGGCCTATCAGATGGCAGGTCTCAGTGGGTGGAGCCAAGCAACGGCAGAAACCCCGCCCCCCTCTGATGTGGGAGGGGCCAGGGAGCCTCGACATCAGCCGAGTCACGGGACCAGAGAGGGCAAATTGTAGGGTCAGGATGAAGGAACCAGAAGGAAACATTGGTGGCGATGTACCTATCTCACCAGCCTCGGGCAAGCTGCCCCCTTAAGCCCCACAGAGTTGGGGTCCAAGAAGCAGCCACAACAACTGCCAAATGTCACATCTGGGTCCTGCGTTCGCACCGCACAGCTGGGTGCTTGCATGCCTAGGAGCAAGGGGGCAGGTTGCAATTGCTCCTCCAGGCATTAGCAGTCTCCACGTCTCGTTTTTGCAGGGCGCCCTCCTGTCACTCCTCCTCTCTCACCCCGCTCTCCTTCAGGATCCCGGGCAGCAGCGGGTGGAACTGGAAAAGCTGCTGGGAGAGGCGAGCGCACGGAGAGGTGTCAGCGGACCTGCCGTCCCTCGGAGCACGCGGTCCCCTGGGAACCGGCGCTAGGTCCCGGGATGTAGGGACACGGGAATGGAGCTGCCATGACCGTCGTCACCCCTTCACATTTTGCTGTGGGGTTTAGCTGCAGATTTTCGTCCAGCTGGTTTCTGGTTTGCAGGATGCACCGGAAGCAAAAGTTTCTTTTAAAAAAAAAAAAAAGGCTGAAACAGAAGCAAAATGTTTCAATCCAGCCCCCGCCCCCCAACTTTGGAAGAGTTTTGGTTTTTTTTTTACTTTTCTTTCACAGAGAATTTCAGAAGTCTTCCACATCTGGGCTAGTTTGAAATGAAGCCAGACAGCAAGGCCTTGAAACCCTTCCGCGGAGGAAAGGCTGTCCCCTGCATATCTCTCTGTGATGGGCTGAGAATAAACCCCAGGTGCCAGCTGCCTACCTGCCAGCCCCAGCCACACCTGCCCCCCATCCAAAACACCCCAGTGCTCAGCCACTCCAGACACGGTCCACACCCCTTGCATAAACCAGAAACCCCGCAGCACCTAAGCCAGGGGTGGGCAAAATGCGGCCCGCGGGCCAGATGTGGCCCACCAGGCCATGCTATCTGGCCCGTAGGGCCCCTAAAAAATTTAGAAAATGAATATTTATCTGCCCCAGCTGCCTGTCATGCGGCCCTCGATGGATTGCCAAAACTCAGTAAGAGGCCCTCCACCCAAAATAATTGCCCGCCCCTGACGTGAGCGCTGTGTTGCCCCACCTTCTGCTATGGCTACTCCTGGGACGGCGTGCCTTGAACGCCAGCTGAAACGTAAAGCTAAACACACCAGTGATTTATGTGGCTGCTAATTAGCTCCTTAAATAAACGACATGAAACGTCCCACATGGCAGCACCAACTGACCGGCTCTGCAGCTCGGGGAATTCAGGAGGCAGACAGACCGTGGCTGGGAGCCAGGAGAACCTGATCCCTTTGTGGCTGGACACAGCCCTCCCCGAGGGAGCAACGCCAGCTGCAAATCCAGGTGCTGAGAGCCAGAGGCTGTTGCTTAGGAGAAAGGCCAAAAGGAAAGAAAATAAAAAGGGGAAAGGAAAAGTGCACATGTGTGCGTGTGCTTGTACATGTGTGTGCGCATGCACGGCTGGAGCGAAGGGTAAGAGGGGGGCAGGAGAAAGACCCCGAAGTCTCAGCCAAAGCTAAGAGGTCGGGGGTACTTGAGAAGGGCTCCGTGGAGGAACAACCTCCTGTGTGCCCCGTGCCAGAGGTAATGCTCCTTCCCTGCCATTGCCATACCAAGCTGCTCTTTCCCCAGATACTATTTCTGTCTCTCTCTCTACCCCACACCCTGCACAGGCGGAGGCTCCCAAGCTCATCATGCCTGCTCTCAGACCGTTTCAACCTATTTTTTAAAAAACAAACCTTTGCTTTCGGTGTATGCTGCAGACTCAGCCTCTAACCCACCCATCCCTGTCCCTGCAGGTTGGCACTAGCTAGACGGGGGAGAGGGTGAGCTGCAGGCCTGGGGGAACCGGGTCGGGTCCGTCCCTGCTCCCACGGGTCTCTGCACGCGGAAGGCAGAAGAGCAGCTCACTGAAGCCTGCCACGGCTCTTCAGACTGGCCAGCAGGAAAGCTGTAGAGCAGCGGCTGCCAGCCGAGGTGGCGCCCGCATGGGTACCTCCAGGCGAAGCTCCCAGCCTTTAGCCTGCGCCCAGCCTGGAAGTGTCCCTGCCCGCGGGCTGGTGCGCACACTCCCCAGCAGCTCTTCTCCAAACTCTCTCAAGTGCGAGCGTGGAGCAACCCTCTCCGTTGCCAGATGGGGACGAGAGGAAGCCAACGGCGCCCCGGTGCTCCAGCCAGCAGCCCATCCCGAGGAGCTGCACGGGTATCCCTCACAGCTGGACGCCGCTGCAGAGTGATGCTGCCCTCATTCCTCTGACCAGGAGCAGCCAGTCCCCAGGCCTGGACCAGGACACAAGCCCTGCCAGCCTCTCCGCTCTGCCTGTCACTGAACCGGCAGCCCGGGCTTCGGGGCAGCTGCCGCCGGGCTAGACCGCAATCAGAGGGAAGGTATCAACTGGATAAACACATCACTGAGGAGGGACAGACATTTCCATTTAAATTCCCCCCTCTGAATGGTAACCTTCAAATTTGGGCAGCAAGCCCACCTCCACCATGGCAGGGCAAGGAGCCTGGTGCCCCGCTCAGGCTAGGAAATGCTCCACCTCCCTCATGGTGCTTGGACCAGGGCTCAAATTGCACTGATTCTTGCAGGGGTCTGCAAAAAAAGTTAAACTGGTTTATTGATTAACAAGTCCACCTAAGTGAAGGAGCAATCTGATCAGAGACCCCCCCCCCCCACCACAGCCCCCACGGTTTCCCCTTCACAAC